TTTCATATAAAAGTAAAGTGCTGATTTGGAACCTAGTTTCCACATTTTTGAAATGATTCACTTTAACAATTTCATACCAATCATAAAACATAATCTTGTATAATTGCTTATTATTAAACAAATCAACCCACAAGGAATATGAAGTAAACACATTATCCTTTTATATATTTTATATATTTGTTTATATTTCATTTTATACCAGGCTTGCTTCACAGTGCACAGGTGTCTCCTAGGCATAATCCCTAAAATGCAAATTATTAATGGTGGTGGAAATATTAAGATATGAATTTTTTTGAGAATATTATTTGTACATATGCTTATATTTTCTGTAAGAAAGATGGACATTTATAAAGCAGTATAGTATAAACCAAATATAAAGCAATAAGAACTTCCTGATTGGTTACTTGTCAAAATTATGCTAATCAATATAATGCAATTATCATAATACACTACAGTTTTCAAGTTCATTAAGATCAATAGTATGAAACAGTAACATAGCAAGTTCATGTTTAATTTTTTTTTTTTACTTTTTGGAATTACCGGTATGTTGGGCATTCTTTTAAAAAAATACTACATGTAATAGGAGGGAAAGTACTGTGGAAATTTCCATTTTTTAAAAATTGGTGTTGGGTGACGATTTTTAATTGGTGTAGTGCAGTATTTTCCAGAGTCTGCTTATTTCAAAAAAACTGTCCTGACTTAACTGAATATTTCTCTGTGCTGTGAAACATGAATTTTCCTGAAGTAAAATCTTCAGGATTTTTAAAATGCATCTGTTTCTCTATTTCCATATGGAACTATGAAAAACTGACAAACTACCAGCTTCACTAATGTGCTTTCCAAAATGAATATGCTTGAATAGTTCTTTGAATAATTCAAATAATTATTTAAATATAAATTAATTCCTTGCCTGATTTTGGAAAAAAAAGAAAGATGACCATTTAAATGTATTTTTTTATAATAACATTTCCAATATATTACAATACAATGTAAACTACAAAAATCTATGTGTATGTATGTGTGTGTATATAGAGAGTGGGGGGAGGGGGGAGAGAGATATGACTTTATTTTTTAATATTTCCATCTCCAAAATGGCTTTTTAAAAGAAAGTTACTTTTAAGATATTTCTGCCACAATATATATTTGCAATTGTTCAAATGTCAGAGAATCAGCCAAATCTTTATTACAATCGAAACCTTTATGCAGAATAGTCATTTGAGTTTGTTTGCTTTTTTAACTATCCTGACTTCATTATTGGGTTAATCTCTCGAGGTGAGTTCTTCTTTTGGTAAAGTTTTCCCATCTTTTGGTGCCTCTGGAAATCTGCAATAGGAAAAAATTGAAAAAGTTGCTGGATGAAGGAAATGGCAGAAAAGGAGAAAGAGTTGCATTTTTCTGTTCTGTCCTTCTGCTAGTAGGCTCCAGTCCTAGATTTCAAGTTTTCTGAGAATAAAAGAAACTGTTTTATTTGCAACATTGAAGTTGAATTTAAGTTACCGAATTCTAATTGTAAATTACGTTGGGTTTGAATTCAGGTTAAGAAAGGTTGTGTATAAATTAGTAAATAATATAAAACATTTGAAAAATAATAGTTGCTAAAAGTAGTCCTAGGCAAAATATTAGCAATACAATTAGGCGGTTCAATGAAAAAGTAGTAAAATAATTTATGACATTTTATTCTATTAACTTCAGTTTGGCTGTGGACTCTAATTTCAGTAGTGCTGAGTCCCACTTAAAAGCCTTAATCAGAAGCAGATGTAGCCTGATAGAGCCAATCTTTATAAAGAGAACACCTATGCATGAAAAAATGAACCTGCTACACACACACACACACACACACACACACACACACACACACACAATATGTCCTGAAAAATCAGCTTTTAATGAATTGAAAATCCTTGATGGATTTATTATTATTTACTACTACTATTATTCCGGAGGCATTGCTAATATAGTACACACACAGAAAGAATTGATAAAGGCCCACAGATCTCTCTTGTGCAGTGCTAGGCCTGTTCAAAAGCCTTGATGTTCCCAGAGATATGTTTAAATTTTCCTTGAATGTCAAGCTTCCCTCCCCTTTTTGCTATGTTAAATATTGTTAAAACTGTTTGTGTAGATGTAGGTGCATGGTTCTTTAAATCTCTAATGAGGCTGCAGTCCAATAGGCAATGATTTTGCTCAACTGATGTTACTGAAAGGTGTATTATAAATTGCATTTAAAAATAAAAATGTGACATGCAGCTCTGTTTGATCCTTTTAAGATTTTAATTCATTTTAGACTGATTGCTTCTTTTTTTTCCAAATTGGCCTCAAAGCTTTAATTATTGTTCTCAAGATCTATTCTTGGATTGCTATTATGGGCCACCATTGGGAACAGCATGTTGATCTGATGAAAAAGGGTTCTTCTTAGGTTACATTGTATATGATCTGATATTCCTTTTGTACAGTAGTTAATTTTAAATATAGTATGGTAGATCTGATCACCCTGTACCTTCCTTTATTGCCATACAAATACAGCCTGGCAAATAATTTAGTAAAATGAACAATTAGCTTTGGAAAAAAGATATGTGGGAACCACTGCAAGCTTAGATGGCACAAAGAGTGATTAGATGTAGATGAAAGCAAGACATGGCAGGACTAAATATTATGTGGCATATGACCTAAACTTTGCTTTCTGAGTCTTGGATCTTCAATGTGTTCCCATGATCACCCCATCACCATTACCAGATTTTTTATCTCAAATCGTTTTTATTTTGAACTTTATTGTTTTTAAAAGGCAGTTAACATGCTTCAGCCAACATATCAGCCTCAGATATAATTTATATTTCCAAAAATATGAAAATACCCATTCCCACAGATCTGCGAGGCATTCTTAGAAAACAAATTTGGGTAATTACAATCCAGAAAAGATTAAAGTAAGTCAGTTGGCAGCATTCTGGGAAACTTGAAAAAAATGGTGGGATAAGACATCAGTAGATTGCTTTCCGGCAGGGACACACACAGCAAAGGTGATATGACTGGTGGATGAAAACCCTGCCTCTTCCTATATGCATGCAAAACAAGTGAAGGCTACTAAAACAGGGAGCGGTTTCCAATATCTAAGTCACATTGATCATTTTGAAGCCAGTAACCTTTTCTGTGAATGCCAATTTGAAGTATTTATATGTGGTTTACATACCAACACTGCTATTTTATGGAAGTGCCCATAACGTTCAGATGTGAGAACCAGCAGAAAGATTTGGGGATTTGCTTCTTTTCAGGTCCAGGGACAGAAACTGTCTCTCATGAACTCATAAAACAAGTGTCTACTGTCAGCTGAGATGGCTTCTATATAGATTTTGTGAGATTGGCAAAATCTTTGATAAGTATCTCCAAGGGATCCAATACTGAGGCCCAATATGTCAACTCTATTTATTTCCTGATATTTGTATCATTAGGAAATGTTAGACTTTGGATTTACAGAGGGGATGTTTTCATATGCACATTTGATTTTTTTCCCTAGGCCAAAACAAATTAGGGGAAAAATGAGTTCTGAAATCTCCCTGCTTAGCAGCTGTTCCTTAGGCTTAAGTCAGTTTTGCTCTAAAGCAGTGTTCTTCAATCTTGGCAACTTTAAGATGTGTGGATTTCAATTCCCAGAGTTCCCAGTCATCATAAGAGCTGAAATCCACATGTTTTAAAGTTGCCAGGTTTGAAAAACACTAAAGGCATCCTATTTAGGCCCTGTTTTTGACCTAACTACATTTGGAAAGACAGTTAGGAGTTGATTTTTCTAGTAAGGCCATGCTTTATTCAAATTTCTGCACATTCTACTGTATACTTTCTATAAATAGTCTAATTAGTGTGGCCCTTCCCAAATGTTTTATTTCTCCTTCCACAATATGAGATGCACTGAGAATTTTAGCAAGTATCCTTGATAAAGGATAGGTTGTTTTTTTTTTTAAAGTCAAATTAAGCTAGTCTGGAGCTGCTGGAGGCATTGAAATGGTGCTACTCCAATGCATGCATATGGTACCCAGATTGTTAATTAGAACAACTGCACATAATGGACTGACTCATGGGGGTGAAATCCAGTATGTAGACTGAATTTGATCAAAATAACATCTGCATGTGGAACTATTATTTTGTTGCACAAATGTCTTGTACACATAACATTTTTATTTATAGAGTTTGAAACAACTTTTAGTATCTTTGCTACTTTCAGTCATGAAAGTAAAGTGTAAAGCAATTTTATTGTGGAACATGAACCATAAATTCTATATCTTATATGCATTTTCCAAATTTGTGTTGTGTTTAGATAGAGCTGACTATTACCTCACACATTTTCAATCTTTATATACTGGTTACTCAGGAAGGAACTAAGCTATTCAAAAAATGATTATTTGGTGTTAAAACAAAACAAAAGTTATCTGCAATTTTCTCAAAATCGTTCATTGGTCTATAGCACCAATCAATGCTCACTGCCCTAAAGGACAGAGCCTGGGGTTGTAATAATGCTAAATTCAGCTTTTTTTCCTGTCTTCTAAAAATCCACCTGTTCATATTACTTGTGGGAACTAGCTTACATAATGCCTAGCTTCGCAGCTTCCAAAATAAGGTACTGTGTTGCATTTGGCTACCAACGAATCGATGGTGAATTGCCCTTGATCTAATCCATGAATTAGCCTTTTATGTGCTTAAATTCGGCCATATGGAAGCAGAACTGCCGTAGGAGTTCTCGTTTTCAGACGTGTTGGAAACTAAGGAACAAACATCTCGGGGGTGTAGCTGAAATGGCTCCAAAGGAAAAGAAACAATGCACTAGATAGCAGAGATGCTCCGGCTAAGGCCATTTCGGAGGTCTGCTTTGCGAACTCCGGACTTTTCCAAAAAGCCAGTATCGGCAGTAATTCTGTTGTGAATGGGCGGAGAGAAACCTCAAACCGAACAAACCTGCAAAGGCGTCGAGCTCCCAAAAGATGGGAAAGGACGGATCGTTGGAAGCGAAGGTGAAAAAGCTCGTGTTTCCTTTAACTGAGCGCAAGGGCAGGAGGAGAAAAAACAAGCCAAAGAACTACGTAGGCAGGCGAGAGTGTGCAAAGAACAAAGGCAAGGGAGACAAAGGGGACCCGGGAAATGCATCAGCACGGGGTGCAGGAGGCGGAGGCTGAGCTGGGGCAAGTGGAAAGGTGAGGCAAGCCAAGGCGCGCTGAATACTAACGGGACGGGCGGAATAAAGCTGTCTCTGCCCAATTTGCATGAGAAAAGAAAGGTAGTATTAATGCGCCTAGATTTATTCACTCCTAAGGCTTGAATTTGTTAAACTGATCTTTGTCTAGTAAGATTGGAAAGGTACGATTTAGGATAAAGGCGGATGCAGCTCTTAGTTCCCCTTTGTTCCTGCAGCAATCGATGACTCTTGCTTTTCATGCCGGAGTCCTTGGCGCTCTCCAACCCTAGTTGTTCACTTGCAGATGTTTCATTTCTGTTTATCTTGCTGGGGCCCTCCCGTGCCCCATTCAAAATCAGCCTTGCTGGCTACAGGTAATTGTTTTCTTCCTAGATCAGCCGATCCTACACGTGTTAGCGAAGGTCCTTGGTCTTTCGTTTTAGATCTGCTTCTGATCAGGCCTGGCTGAAAAAGCCGGAGGGGCGTAAAAGAGGCAAGAGAAGGAAGTGAAACTTTTGCTCTGTGCTTCCGAGCCACGTGGTGGTCAATCCTTTGTTTCGAGCAGCAAACAAAAATCGCTGCAAATAGGATAGGAAATTTCCTACGTTAGATAAATCGGTCATTGGGGCCTGAAGTGTGAACCCCTGGCATTATCCCAGAATCTGCTTACCTAAAAAAGATGGAATAATTTTCAGTTTTGGTTGCTCACTTTATTTTTTGACACATGCCACTTTCAACTAAAACATCCAAAGCGCTTGTGTTTCACACGACTTTTCTTCTGCCAAGAAAAGCGGGGGAGGGCGGAGTTTAGGATCTGATCAGCCTGGGGACACGTGGCAGGAGGGGCGAGGCCAGAGCCAAGAATGGGCAAGGCTAGCGTTTTTCTTTCTTTATGCTTTTTTTCTCTCCCCTCCCCTTGCAGCTTTGCAACTTCCATCTTTTTCTTCTTTTCCTCACTGTTGCCATGCAGAGGTGAACTTTGAAAACATGGATCAGTTTGATATATTCAGCTGGAGCAGAAAAGGATTGAATGCAGGTATTTGCATTCCTGGCCTCCAGATTTAAACGATCAGCACCACCTCTCCAGGCTTTCAAATAGTTACACCTGTGGGTATAATGCCGAATACAACATTTTGAAAGGCAAAACTTCAGTGATCACTTAGCTATTTTGTTATGACTTCATGTTAAACTTTAATAGTGAAATAATACACTATTTAGTTCAGCTTTAAGCACCATACATGCCTTGTGGAACCAATTTCTTACTATTATTTTTTGTTCACCATTTAAATCTGGAAATAAAAAATGGGTTTTGTCACTCCTGCAGGAGTTCAAGACTCTTCCCACATTCCTTCCTGATAATTAAACCTAAAAGATATGGGGCTGAGAGTGATTGACCAAAGGTCTTGGCTGAGAGTGAAACTGAGCTTGCTCTCCCCAGTCCTATTTCAACACATGAACTGCTTCAGTCCAACCCAATTCTACAGATTTCGTAGAACAAAAGAATATCAAATCAGCTTGTGAGATTGGTTAGACTACACAGAAAGAGTCTGGCCTATAATTTTTCAGGAGCATTTATCTGGCTCATACCCAATCCCAATCCTTGATTATCTGTTATCAAATTTGTATTGCCTATTACTGACAGCATAAATAGACTGTCTCCAGGATAATCTTCCCTCAATCCTTACCTTCCGGTTTTCTGACAATGTTCCCATCTGTAATACAGTCTAGTATTTTATTCCTGGTTGCTTTTTTCCCCTCTTTTCTTTATTTCATGTTTCCTGGCATTACTGACTTAAAAAAAAAAAAAAGCCAAAATATGATAATTTCAGTCTGGTCATTTGTGCATCGAGTAAGAATTCTGGATTGATTTTTCGATGATTTAGATTTTCATGGCTATATATGGTAGTCTTTTCTAACCTCAAAGTTTGAAGGCATCATGTTGGTGCTTTTGAAGGAGCTCATGGGGATTATAATCTCATCTGAACTATTTCCAGAACATTTAGATCCTATAGATCAAACATAGCTACTGTGTTAGAATACGTTTTGAGGTAGCATCAAAGAAAAATCACACTGAGCACTGTTCAGTAATTTATTCTAAAAAATTATACAAAGGATTGCTAAATTTCCAGTAAAAAAGATGCACTTTAAATATCAAATTTTGGAAAAAGCATTGAAGTAATGACAATAAAAAAGAATAAAATCTTAACAATTTATCTGGTCTTCCTAATTCTTTAGGAATGCCCTGATGGATTGGAGGGGAATAAAACCCCTGACAAATGAACAACTATCTAATATAGCTATCTGTGATCTTTTATCAACTGTGTTCTGTCTTGAATTTCTAGGATCTCTACTACATTCATTTTTTCTGGATTCTAATTTCACTGAACACTGATTTATGACCAAATTATATTAATCTGTAGAACAAAATACATACTAGCACATTATTAACATAGCATGAATACCAATAACAACTTCACATGATCTCCATAGAATCTTTCTGCAGATGTAAAACAATTAAACTTTTCTGAAGTAAAGTAATTGAGTTAACATAAACTTTTCTGAAGCACAAAAAATAGCTCTTAGTATGTATGTTGTAGGAAATAGTCCACAGGAAAGGTTATTTGTCTTTGCTTTTAAGCAGGGGTGAAATGCTACCGGCTGTATCCGGCTCGCAGGAGCCGGTAGTGCTGGCAGTGGGTAGTTTGGAGAACCGCTAGTGGCGATGGCGGGAGGCTTTGCCCCCCCCCAAACCAGGACATCGTCACGTCCCAGTTTTGACAATCTGCACATGCGCATAAGGTGATGGCGCATGCACAGGTGATGGTGCGCATGTAGACAACAGCACATGCACATCAGCAAACCGGTAGGAAAGGTAAGTACATTTCACCTCTGCTTTTAAAGCAAAATTCTAGGCACATAATATGGAAGAAAGGCTGGTGAAGACTCTAAATAGATGCATAATAGCAGTGTAACTTTACTAAAAAGAAGTCTCAATGTGTACTTCATTGTGTGGTTAACATATTAATTTGGGGAATGTGCTCTGAGGATTACTGTAATAGTTGCAGTGATAAAAGTCACTTTCATCTTAATTACTAATTACTAGCCCCCCCTTTTGCTCTTTATTTTAATTTGGGTTCACTTTGGATTCTTTTAAAGAAAATTGGCTCTGATACTGATGATAATAGAAATTTTCATTGTTTCAGATCTCCAAAAGTAAATTGACAGGAATGGGATTATTTTAAAATTATTACCATAAATTGTGCCAAAAAGGATAAAAAATAGGAAAAATGGATACAATGCCTTAGAATCATACTGTATACCTGTCAAAATATATTGACTTCTGCACAGTCCTTACAACAAGTTTATTTATTTTTATTTATATCCTGTCTCTATTATTTTACAAATAACCCAAAGCAGCAAACATATTCAACACATTTTCCTTCTATTTTCCCCATAATAACCCTGTGAGATGAGTTGGGCTGCGAGAGAGTGACTAGCTCAAACCAGTTGGCTTTCACCGCTAAAGCAGGATTAGAATTCATGGTCTCCCAGTTTATAGCCTGGTACCTTAATCACTAGACCAAACTGTCTCTCCAGGTTGAAAAATAAAATTTAATTTTGAGGTTTTATAAAGCTTGATGAGGCTAGAATAACTCTTAAGGTCAGTTGGCTGATTATAAATCAAATTGTCAACTCTTTGATGAATATATCTTGAATCATGAAGATTTCTGGATGAACTCACCCAAAGTAATGAAATCATCCCTTTCCTACAATTATTTCTTATTCATATTTTTCAGGAAAAGGTCTAAGAGTTTTGTATGCTTTTTAAATATATAGACATGTGTGTGTGTATACACACACACACACACACACACACACACACACACACACACACACACTTCCCCTGCTATGCCCACAAAGCCATGCCCACCAAGCCACACCAGGCCCACCAAGCCATGCCCACAGAATCGGTAGTAAAAAATTTGGATTTCACCAGTTATATACACACACACACACATACACACGCACACACACACATACATAACACAGAAATTTTAGTACATATAGCATCAACTTTTTGCATTGAGTTTACTTTAGATAAATTATGCAATATGCAGTTTTCCTTTGCTACAATTTGCTTTTATTATGCTTTGTTTTTGCTATGCTGTTAAGAGTGCTTCAAGATATTAATTATACCACTAGCCATTAATTATTAATATTTTTAAAGTCTGCAACCAAAATATAAAAATATTTCATAGTTAGGATGTTGTTAGAAAATAATGTGTCAGTAATTAAGATAATCTGTAAAAATTATTCCTGTAAACATATTGCTACATTCTAGATCAGACTTTGCTAACCTGATGCCCTCTATTTATATATTGGGACTGAAACTTCTGGAATGTACAATTAGCATGACCTACTTGTATTCTAGGAATTGTGGGAGTTGTAATTCCATAACTCCCAATTGTGGGAAATGCAGATCAAAAAAACTGTCTGTAAATCAGTTTTTAATAGTTGAATTTAGTTGATTGTTTAGTTTCTATTTTAACTATGAAGGCTGCCCGGGGTCATCAATCAAATAATATTTGTACAAATATGGCTTCAGATTCTCTTCCCTGGATGGTAGTGACAGGTTCTGAACATGATGCTGTTAACTGCTTTTCCATTGATCAAGTTCCATCTGATCTGCAGATTACCCAGTTTATTTGCTCTCTCATCTGTATTTTGTTTAACCCCTTTATTGGGGATGCTGGAAAGCAAATCTCTTCCTGCTTGCTGCCACTAACTATCAGTTGTCACATAGTGGCTGTCAATCATATCTGTTTAGATTCTCCAGCCAGACCATGGGGGCTTCAGTGGACATTCTTTGGTTGAAGAACAATAAGAATATAGGTATAGGGACCATACCACTTTTATTTCAATAGCATTTACCTTAAATGGTGATGTTCAGTCCAGACAAAGCAAAAGCTTATAAGTAGCAACCAGGGGATGAAAGAGCCAAAGGCAAATAACCAATTTTTACATGACTGAGCCAACCTTTTTATATTCCAAGTTTTCTAAGGCCCTTAGAAATGGAGCAGGACTTAAACAGATCATTTTGATGATTACAATTCTATGATGCTCCAGGTCCTAGTCTGCTAAGAGTCTGTAATGCTTGGGGAGAACTATTAGAGGTAGGTAGTAGAATTTATAGCTATTTGTTTAGCAACATTGAAAAAATGGACATGAAATGACCATTGTAGCATCCCTACAATCACAATTTGGATGCTTGGCAACTGGCATGTGTTTACTATGGTTGCAGTGTCCCAGGAACCTGTGATCACTGTTTGTGATTTTTCCAGATGGCTTCTCACAAGCAAAGTCAGATTTGCTTAATGACCGCATGATTCAATTAACACCTGCATTGATTTGCTTAACAACCATGACAAAATGGATATAAAATTGGGTGTGATTCACCTAATAATTGCCTAGCTTAGCAATGGAAATTCTGGTTCCAATTTTAGTTGTAAATTGAGGACTACTTGTAATCATTCCCCCCCCCCCCATACATATTTTACCCAACTCTTGGAATGTTTCAACCCTATCTCCTCAATTTTGCCCTAAAATAAAAATCTCCCTGTAAAAAAAAAACCAAACCAAACCTGTGAGTTTCTCATCTGCTCATTGTGATAGCAAGTCTCCTAGTGTATTGCTTCAGATTTTGTTCTCTTGCCATTTTCTGGCAACTTGTCAGTTCATTAGAAGTGCAGGAACTGGAAACTAGCTGTGTCCTCCTGTGTGGCTGTGCTGACAGAGCAGTTAAACATAATACTGTGGACTGCTTACAGCAGAAACAATTCCTGTTTACAAATAAAAACTCCCAGCTGGGACAAGACTTTGCAACTGCAGGGCGAAGGAGTTGGGACTGAATATAATGTCAAATAATTCAAGTTGTGTGCAGAGTTCAGTCTGCTTGAAGAATGGAGTGGTAGCAATCTCTTGAACTGACAAAAGATGCTGTTTCCTTAGCTTTATTTATTTGTTGTTTAAATTTTCTCATATTAAACTTTGCCTTTTGCAGAGATCTCACTGTTGTTTTCCTTAGTTGCTGTGCGATCCAGAAGAAGAGGTTTTATTGTTCATGTACACCACAAATCATCTTTTGGCCTTTGAAACTAAAAGTGCTGCACAGCTCTGAGGATATTTAAATATACCAGCATAAGTGTCTCCTGAAAAGGAAGGAGAACATTCCAGAGGCCAAAATCCAGTTTAACAAGGATCTTCCTGCAAATTAACAATGAAGGCAGCATTATGAAAAGGAGAGGATACTTTACAACAGAAACCAATTGTTTAGCCTCTGAAATACCCACAACAGAGGAATTGCTGAAGATGACAACATTAGCAGAGATGGAAAAATTGACTTTTTGAGTAGAGAAAGGACAATAACTGCATTTATTAGTAACTGGAAATGCCTAATGGACTTTTTGCCTAAAAATGAATTTGAGATTTATGGTTTGATATCAGAAAGGGTAGATTATCAAAAGAAAGAAATTATGTTGTAATGTTAGAGAGAAAGGGTAAAATATAAAATGTATAAATGTACCTGTAACTTCTGTTAAGAACTTTGGAACCTGCTTTTTTTATAATATCTCTTTTTCTCTCTTTCCCATCTCTATTTTGCACACACATACACACACAAACACTAATGATAGCCACATCAGAAAGAAGTAGTGTGAGAAGCTGTAGAAGTAATAGGAAGGAGGAACTACAGAGGATATGAAAAGTGAAGGCCAAAAGCTAAGATTGCTCAGAATCAGGGGTGAAATGCTACCGGTTTGGACCGGTTCTCCCGAACCGGTAGTAATAAAAGCTACCGATTCAGAAAAACCGGTAGTAAAAAAATGCTACCAGTTCAGATGAACCGGTATTTCTGATGATCAGTTGTGCCGCACAATTTATTTTTGCTAGAAAGCTGAAAACATACATTTATATATCTCTAGTATTGCTCTAAATCAGCATTTTTTCAAAATTGACTATTTTAAGAATCTTGGACATCAACTCCCAAAATTTTCCAGGTAGAATGCTAGCTGGGGAATTCTGGGAGTTGAAGTACATACATCTTAAAAATTGGTAAGTTTGAAAAATATTGTTCTAAATTGTCGACAGCTGATTATTTGGTAAGTTTATTTTACAGCTGCAACATGGTAGCTATCTATAGCTCAGCCCAATGTTTCTATTCTCACTCTTACCTAGCTCTTCAACATGTTCTGACAAGTCATTCTTAGCATTGAGATTTCTGATTTAAAAACAAAAAGTGAGTCACTCTATGATTCCTTTCATTAAATCTTTTTAAACAACTTATTTTTAAAATGTAATTTTGGTTTGAATATTTAACTGGAAAAGGGAGGTGATTTAACTTTTTTGTTTAAGTGAGATTGATTTTATTTGCCTGCTTGGCATGTGTATTACATGGAAATTTTCATAGAGATAAAAGAAAATGTTGGAAAAGAGGCTATTGTTCTTTTTTTGAAAAAGTTAGGATTATTACAGATTCAGGAAAAAAAATATTAGCAGCAGAGTCTCCAATCCCCTTCTTCCTGCCACAGAATTGCGGCGATGATGCCAATTTATTAAAAAACAAAACAAAAAACAGGAGAGAGAGAGAGAGATCTCCAGCATTACTCTTTCATGTTTGATTTTTCATGGATCATCTGCATTTTACTTGACAAATTTATCTTTTCTCATTCTGCAGGCATGTTAGTGTAAGTTATTATGGTACTCTACTTTGAAGACTGTATTAACTTCCTGATTCTATAAAACAATGTGGTACAGCTGGTTCAAATAACACTGTTACACAATTTATATGTTTAATAAGAAAGGCAATGTTAAGATGTTTTGTTTTAATGCAGAAGGAAAAGTTTTTAAATGATAATTATATTTTAAGCACTAATTATAAGTGGATTATATTTTCCCAGCATACAAAACAAAGAGAGGGAGAAAAAGAGAAAAGAGTTCATATTAATTTCATGCGTTATTGCACAGATCAGTTTCATTTAAACTCCATCTTTATTTTTTCATATTTCAGATAAAATGTCCCATGTTTTTTTAGTAGTTGTATCTATGGAATTCTGCCTCTTAATACTATCTTAATAATAGAGATTTGATGAGGCTAACTAAATAAACAATTCTTTTTGTGCATTCATGGAAACATTCTGCTCTAGCGTCAGAATTTTGACTGACAGCTAATGTGCTTTTTAATATACCATCTTGTGAAAGAAACAGTCCTGTTGAAAATGTTCTCTAAAGACAAACATGTTAGAAGTGTAAGAACTGGACTATCATCAGAAAACACTTTGAATCATTAATGTTTTCATTAAACAATGACACGAACCTGAATAAATTCTGGGAAATGTTTGGATTATTATAATTTAGAGCTGCCAAGAATTGATCTGCAACAATAGATGTCATATAAAGCTGCAAATATAAGTAATTTCTTGCATGGATAATTCATTTTTCATAATTTAGCCATGTCAAAGCAGCTTTCCTTAAACTGGTATCCTTCAGTTGATTTGTGAGTATAGCGCTTAGAATTTCCAGCCAGAATGACCAACATCATCTAGGAAGATTAGGCAAAGTAACTCAGGATAAGCAACTAGGTGCCTTTCAGATGTTTTGCATTACAGGTGCCATAACACTTGCTCTTTGGCTGTCTGGTCTTCAGGTGATGAACCCAACCTGGCTAATTTTGGCCTTCTGGCTTTGATATTATTTTCCTGTATTCTCACACGAGTTTTGCTGTCTAAGCCTGTAATGGTTGAACAAAAGATTCCCTTAACTCTTTTTAGATTAACTATGAAGCAAAAAAACCCTCTTTGTGTTTGAAGAGAATACACACACACACATACAAATTATGTATCTCCCACTCTTCTTCTTTGGTATTTTCTTCACCTCTAGGTTAAACTCACAGGAGTACTGTATGCCCCGCATCCAATATTTTGTCTTCAACACAATACATTAGACTCACCCAATTCTTAACACAGAATTTAGCCAGTACTCTATGTTTCTGGATTGAAAGTAGGTTTAGTGTTGAGAGGCTTCAGCCTTAATAACATGCTTTATAAAGTCCATCTGGTGTGTGCTGTGTTTTGGGCAGGGGCGCGTTTCAAAACCCATCGCTACTAGTGCGCTCGTGGATGTGCTCACGCACGCTTGCATGCGCACACCACTGCTGCTACCGGTAGCAACCCACCACTGGTTTTGGGCCAACTAAAGTAAGTAACTTCTCAATGTTGCCATACTTGTGGGAAAACACAGAAGTGTGCTCATCCCACTTTTTTCTAATAATTGACTTATATTTTATTAACAATTAGAGTTATATATCTGTTGAAAGCCAGTTTAGTGTACCGTGTTTCCCCGAAAATAAGACCCTGTCTTATATTTTTTTGAACCCTGAAAAAAGCGTGTGGCCTTATTGCCATACGCTCAAAAGCCTGATTGGGCTTATTATCAGGGGATATCTTATTTTGGGGAAAACAGTGTAGTGGTTAAGGCATTACACTAGAAACTAAGAAGATGGTCCCTAATTCCTTAGGGACAAAACCAACTGGGCTAGCGCTAGTCACTTTCTCTGAGCCCTAAGAAGAAGGTAATAGTAAACCACTTCTGAAAAAACTTGCAGGCCTGGCAGTCCCCAAGAATTGGACATGATTGAATGGAAGAAAATAAAATATCTTTCATATTTGAAGATATCCTATGAATGGGAACCCATTACTTCTCTGGTTAATTGGTTCCATTGTCAAACTGTTTTACTGTTTTACTGTTTTAAACTATTTTACTGTTAAAAATATTTAACTTACTGTTAAAAATATTTAACAATCCTTAAGTTCTAGTTTGTAACTCCTATTTCCCTGCAGATCCCTTCAATCCCTCTTCAAGAGCTGAAAAGATTCATATACAATATATTGTTGGGTGATAGTGGTTATGATTTATACATATTTTCATGTGAAATGCAATCTTCCCTCCAAATGATCGCAATGTAGCTGACACTTTTAAGATGTTTAAAGTTCAGTGAATGTCTCCTCCTGATTTTCCAATTATTGCTGATTTTCTGGAAGACCCTATTCTGCAAGACTCAACATTCCTTTCATCTTTCTTCTCTAGCTCTTTTTCCTTTCCCGTTGTTTTTTACAATTGAACATGAGCCTTTAGTAGGCCATCTGGTAAGCTGGTAAACCCCTGGCATCCATCTTTGCCATTAAAATGGCAAAGCATTTAAAAAGGAAAACCAAATGTTGAAGGCTCTTTGAAGCATATATATGCTGTCTCTTTTACACAAAGAATTCTAAAGCACAGGAACATGATCTTACATTCTGCAGTTTCTTATGCTAATCCAAACTTGGAGTAGGAAAAATAGCTGAAAACTACCAGTGCTAATGTTCCCTGCATCTTTATGCAAAGAGATTAGGTTGCCAGCAAAATATATCTTTAAATCAAACACTGTTTTACTTATGAGATTTTTTTCTTTTCTGTTTACTTCCTTTGTTTAATATATGTTTTTTCAAGCTACACTCCAAGTGAAAGAGAAATATATTACTATTCAGTAATTCAATATAAATATTTAAGTCTGGATAAAGGCAACTTGGTTCCCATCTTGTGGGACCTCAGATAAAATATTATAGGAGCTACAGATCTCTTCTTCAAAAGATGAAGATGCAAATGAGATTTTGCCATTTCTTTGTTTTCCCCTGGAATGTTTGGCACAACAGCATTTCTTATACAGAAAAGTGGATATCAAGTTTTTAATGTTAATTTTATAATGTAATAAAACAATTTGTATTGAATATATTTAAATACTATTGTACATATTGATTTTTAATACATTTCTGAATTTTATGGTATCTGCCAATTCTCATTAAAAATAAAACATATTTAGAACAACCTCTATGACTGCAGCATAAATATCTGTTATATTTTGTCATTTCAAAACACATAAACACAACAATGATAGAAGTATGCCTAGATAAAGATTGGGAATATTCTATGACTGAACTAGGTAAGAATGCCTGTTATTAAATTAGAAGCATTTTTATCCGAGTCTTTAGTCTTCAAGACTCTCAGGTTGGCTTCTACGCAGTGGTGGGATTCAATTTTTTTAACAACAGGTTCTGTGGGCGTGGCTTAGTTGGGGGTGTGGCTTGGCAATCATGTGACTGGGTGGGCATGGCTAGCTGGTCACGTGACTTTGTAGGCGTGGCTAGCTCATCATGTGACCAGGTGGGCGTGGCTATGTGCATAGGGACTACTCAGAGGGCTGAAAAAAGTCATTTCTGACTGGGCCTCGCACTTTTGACCAGTCCTCGAACTTACGACTGTCCTCACATTTTACGTTTTTGCCCTATCTTGTCACCATGGTGAAGAGAAGCAGTTGTGAAATGAGTGACATGGTTGTTAAGAAAGCTGCACGGGCATAAATGTGAGGATGGTCATAAGTGTGAGGACCGGTCAAAAGTGCGAGGACCAGTCAAAAATAACTTTTTCAGCCTTCTGAGTAGTCCATATGCACAAAAGGACTACCCAGAGGGCTGAAAAAAGTGATTTCTGACAGGTCCTCGCCAGGGCCGGATTTAGATGAAAAGAGGCCCTAGGCTATTCCACTTATGAGGCCCTTTCACCTATAGTGAAAGTGTAATTTTAATTTTGCTAACAATTTGAATGTAGGCCCCTCTTGATCTTGAGGCCCTAGGCTGAAGCCTAGTTAGCCTATAGGAAAATCCGGCCCTGGTCCTCGCACTTTTGACCGGTCTTTGCACTTATGACTGGTCATCATTTATGCCCATTTTAGCATTCTTAACAACCATGTCACTCATTTCACAACTGCTTCTCTTCACCATGGTGACAAGATAGGGCAAAAACGTAAAATGTGAGGACAGTCGTAAGTTCGAGGACTGGTCAAAAGTGCGAGGACCAGTCAGAAATAACTTTTTCAGCCCTCTGAGTAGTCCATATGCATAAAAGGATACAGCAATAGAGAGGGATGAAGGAAGGGAAGGGAAATTAGAGTAGGAGGGAGGGTAAGAGAGGGAGGAAGAAAGGAGGAGAAGGAGAAAGGAAGAGGAAGTAGGGAGGAGAAGAAGAGGGGGGAGGAAAAGAAAGTAAGAAGAAAAGAAAAGAGAGAGGTGGTAGGTTTGAAGAGAAAGATTGCTGTACAATAAAAAAAGATGGAAGAAAGCCAACCCCAAACAAATATAAAGATATTAAGATAAAGAATGAATTGTTAAACTTTAAAGAATAAAAGAGAACAAATATGAATAAATAGCAATAATTAGAAACACACATACAAACATACAATGTATTTTCTTTTAACAGAGTATTTGGCCGGTTCACAAATTTAAACAGTGTTTAGTCATTTCAATTAAATTTACAATTTCTGTATTTCCTTTTTGCCATATTTATTCCTCATCTATTTTTGTAAAAAACCAATATTACCCTTTATCCTCATCTCTAATCTTAATCAAATTCAATTTTTCCCTTCTATTCTATATTATACCCTTTCCCATTGTCATCTATTTTTATATCCATCCTCACATTGGTTAATTATGTAATATTAGTTGTTTAATATAAATTCAACATTTTAATATAAATCAATTAGTTATATAACTACCTTTTTGTATATTAATCAATATGAACATGAATATTCCAATTATTTCCATGCAATCCAATTTCTTACAAATCAATTAATTATATTTACCAATAATAATAAACCAAATAATTTCCCCCATATATTCCTCCAAACCACAACTTAACCATTTCTGCTTTCAGAAATATACAATTAATAGTATCTCAATTATTACCATTCCCTAGTTAAATAGAGCTTTTTTTCTTTTGTGTTTTAAAATCTTTCCCTAAATTTCCCATTGTTTGCACCTACCTTTTTTGGTGAGGAAAAAGAAAAGAATTCTGCCTGCCTAATTTTCCAATGTTGCAGCAAC